ATATATATATAGTAACGTTCATTAATAACCATAATAATATGACGATATTACGGTGGCACAAGGCGCTGAGTATCACTTGTAGACGGTTGATTGTACTGATCGTCAGAATTATCATTTTCATATGCTACATCGACATCCTCTTCATTACTATCATCATTATCTTAAAAACTCAATTCTTTCATAATTCATGATTATTAATATCAATAAATATCATTACTATGATAAGGAATATCACCATCTCTTATTATTATTATTATTATTATTACTATTAAAAAGCGAAGATGCAGCCCAAAGAAGTAAGAACACAATGAAAAAGTATCATGCAATGAAATGTTATTATCAACATCATTACCATTCGTGTTATTGTTGCAAACAACAAAATGATAGGTGTCATGCAAAATGAAATAAAGGCGACGATACCAAATGCTGACTTAACGTTTCGTAAATTAAGTTTTATTCTTCGAATGCATCGAACCGACTGAACACAAACAAACAAACGAACAAAAATGACAAAACAATAATGTTATTAAGGTTACCATGCATAACACATGAGTGCATCTTTATAAGTATGTGTGTGTGTGTTTAAGTGAAATGCCACAATATTTAACATGCAGCATGCAAAATAATAATTGATTGATTATACAAACAAACAAATAGTTAAGCAAAAATTAATAAATTGAAAAGCGACTTATTAATGATAACAATCATTTGTCAAACTAAAATCAATAAATTAGATTTGAAAAGCATTCAAAACAAATGTTCTCCCATCACTTCAAATAATCAAATATTCTTCTTCAGTATCATCCATTCTTTAATCTCTCTTCCATTTACCTACCTATTATCAACAACTCAAAATCCGATCGTTTACTGTCAAAAAATTTTTCCGTATAGATAGTGGAAACTCAAAATGCACAATCATAAGAAAATTAAGTAACAATAACAAAAGCTCGATGAACGTCGTTGCGTTGATAAACAGAAAACAACTTTTTAAGAACCAATGGAAAGGGAATAAATAAAGACAAAACAGAATGTTGCGATGATAGAAAAAAGGAATGAAATTTTCAAGAAATGAATGGAACACAACAAATACATCAACCAAATATATACATATTTGCACTCAAAACACATTCACTACTCTGCAATAGTTCAAACATTACAGTTGTTGCTGAAAGCGTAAAATCGCTCACAACGATACCATCACATTTGTAATAACGTTCAACGTCCAACAGTTTTCAACTATATAACCTCCACTTCAGCCCAAAATTCAACCGTCAAGCAAAATCAATTCTCGTTTATTAGATCATAATGTAGCCGAGCGGAAGAAAGCCAGGTCGTCACGAATACAAAATTAAAACAGTGTGAAAAAAAACGTGCGATCGATCAGTGCTTAATGTTATTAGTTAAGCAACCTATACTGCATGAGTACCTAATGAAAACAGGAATGAAAGGACGTGCAACCTATATCATTAACACAATACGACAGATCACACTGAAGAAGGTGTTTCAAAGAAATGACTTCAGACAGTGATGTGAAATGAGTGAATAATGTGCTTGCAAAAATCAAAATAGAAAGGATGCAATATAACATGATTATATTATCAATGATAATGATGATAACAATAAATGATAATAATGAAAATAATCACAGACCACAATGATGTATTGAATGTCGATGATGCTTAGATCGTTTGCCAATTTTTTGTGGTATAAGTGTAACGCATATTATAACTGCTAGTACAAGACATCCACCAGGAACAAATACCATTACCTTACGATAGAACTGTTCACATGAACCACTTGCGTTTAAACTAAATTCAGTTAATTATCTCATTAGTGCTTGTCCAAAAATCAACCACGAGAGGTTACAATCGTTCAAAGTCTTAACGAGAAAAGCAATCGAAGAGAGGAGAATAAAACGGTGTTTCTGTAGCTAAGTAAGTCATCAAGATCCAGGCGATTGCCCAACACCATTCTGCACTACGCTTCATTCGAAAACAAAACACTTACTCGCAATCTGGCGCAAGCAACTGTATAATTTGATATGCAAGACCATTCGCTAACTTGTCCAGGAAACTCATCGTTCCATATACAAATGCACCACTCTCCTTCAATTTTTAAAATAGTATTAACAACAATATCAGTAAAAATGATGAAACGAATAATCAAAACATACCGTATTCATATTAATTAAATCTGCAGTAATCGCTAGTGATGTAACCAATAAAATGGCCTGTGCAATACCCAATAAAATGGCAACTACGTAAATGGAACCACTATGTAATGGAAAGAACATCCAAGCACAATTTCCAAGACCAACTGCACATCCGGTCATATATAATGCCTAAAAAAATAGCAATTACAATCACAATAATAGTAATAATAAGAATAATAATAATAAATAATAATAATTAATAATAGTAAATAATAATAATAACAATAATAATAATAATAATAATAATTAAAGAAACAACCTTGCGATTAATACGAGCCACAATTGACGGTGCACTGATAATCGATGACACAATAAAAGACGATGTATACGAAACGATCGGAAGTATTGCAACGTATTGCTGCAAGTTTGATAATGAATATTCATTGCACAGTAATAATGATAACAATAAAACAATAAACGTTCTCCACAGAAAACAGACACTAACCTTAGGATAATTTTGAGCAAGTGTTATGTAGAACGGGAAATATACTTGAGAGACGTTAATGTATAAACGTGATAACATGTAAAGAATTGCTATCTGAAACAAAAAGTAAAGTTATCAACAACAACAATATCAATAACAATAAATCAGTCAATCAATCACCTCATAAAACTGCAAATATCTGAACCAGTTCCTCCAAGACATTTTCATCATGATCGATGCTTCTGAAGTAATCGAATTCAAACGACTCATTCTTCTTCCTGATTGCGGTTCACGTGTTGTTAGGTAGAATATGAACGACGTAAACAAGCCAGCGCCTATTACTATTAGCGCTGAATTCTAAAATGCTTTCTTTTACATGCTAATACTAACAAAGAAATGAATTAACATCTAACCCTAAAATGAACAAGATCCGCCGAAGAAATGCCGCGTTGTGTACCCGAATTGAGAAAGATAGCCAATAAACCGAATACGCTAAGATTCGCAACCACAGTGAAGCTGTATCTGATTGATCCCATTATGGATCGACAACGCTGTGTGCCAGATAATTCTGGTATTAATGCTAGATGAGAAATCTGAATACATCTTTTTTATTTTAAATTCACTATTAATTTACTACTTTAAAATGATGCATAATGAACCTACGTACCTGCACTGACGCCCAACCAAATTGAAAAAGCATAATGAACGGTAAAAACCAAACAAGACGCCATCCCTCCGAAGTGGTTGAACAACACGCAAAGCATTTGTTGAAAATGAATGGAAATGATATACTCACGCATATGGTTCCTTAAAATTTTACATTCATACCGACAACAACAATGAACACACAACACAATAAAAGACAATACCAATTGCGTGCCATGAAATGCGTCTACCGAATCGAAGCAGAAACGATGGCATCAATGAGCCATCACTGGCCATACCAACTAATGGTGTACTGACTGCATCAGTTACCTATAAATATACTGATTACCATTTGAAGATTGCTTTGACACTTCATGCTCCATATTGATATTAGAACCCAAAAAGGTGCTTTACTCTAACTGACAGAATAATGCCTGTTTCCTCGATTTGAGAATTTCAATATTTTGCAAATTTAACAAAAAAAAACAAAAATTTTGCCATTGAAACGAAACTTTAAAACGGGCGAAAGTAATGATTAAAAAACTGAGAAGATGAACTCTAAATTCAATTTGATAAGTGACCTTCGATACGCGGAATCATTGCGTCAATATCTTTGGATTTCGAAAATGAGAAACAAAACCATTCTTCAACTTTCTCAAAAACAATAGCAATAGTTTAATATAACCATAATAATAATAATAACAATAATAATAACAATATCAATAATAAAAATAATAATAACAGCAGCAATAATGAGAATAACAAGATTGCTATTGATATTTTAAAAGCATTCAAAAAACTTTATAGCGAACAATAATTTGATTGAAAGTGCATCTTATATGATGTTGTCAAAAGCTTCATAATGAGGTCATAATAAAAATGAAAACAAGCGTTGTCAACAAGTAAAAAGCAAACTCACACTTTTTATATTGCACTAATGAAACTGATAAACAAATCACCTGTCCAATAAGCATTAATGCACCAGCCAAAGAACTTTTAAAGTTGAGTACTTTTTCGAAGAAGAGCATCAGATATGTGAACCACATACTTGCGCATAAATCGTTATAAAAATGACCGATGCCATAACCGATCATATGTAACATACTTATATCACGATCATTAATCGGTTCCACCTCAACTTTCGATTCATTTCAAATTCTGATCCATTTTTATATTCAATTTTCTAAGCAACTTCAAAATACGAATCATTTTTGATTCAAATCAATTCATAGCAATTATCAAAATCGCTTTCGAGTCGCTTCGATTTGATTTCAATTTCTGTCATTTGATTTAATGCTTCGCAAAACTCTACCTCTAAAATAGCTCATTTATGAGCCCAACACTGAGCAGATAATGTCAGCTTAGGTGTTAAACCCTCAAAAGTGATGATGCTTTATTACCTCGGATTTGTTTGCATAATGCTTAGCACTTCAGCAACATAAACGCCGCAATGATTAGCGATAATAATGATAATTACAACGATAACAATGATAATAATCACAAAATAAACGAAACAAAAAATGATAATAATCACTTATATTAAAAAAATAAAACTACCGTGGTTTCATGAACAAGGACACGAGTAGAATTCGACGGAGTTACGGGCGTGTCACGCACTTGTTGAACTGATGAATTATCATCACCACAACCATCATGAGTACTCATTTTGCTTGGATTTGTTCACTACTTATGTTGATATTAGTTGCAGTTAACTGGGTGTTGTTGTTATAACTAAAATTTGGGCTCGTTTATGACTCGATCAATTTCTTACAACATGCCAATTATTCCCGCATAAAAATAGCAATGATAATATTATGATAACATTAATAATGATATTAATATTGTTAATAACAATAATAATGATAATAAAAATAACAAGAATAATAATAATAATAAATAATAATAACAATAGTGCATCAAGTTCGACGTT